CAGCACAGATTGTGCAATCTAGTCACATCTAGGACAGCTCTGTACTCTACTGTGAGCTGTTAACATGTACGCTATATTGCAATCTCTCCTCCATCCAGAAAACGTGCATTGTCTAGAGGGACAAAAACACATAAGGAAGTAAATAAAATAGTTCTAGGCTTCAAAAGGGTGATACAGGTATTTAACTATATATGCTGCAATCCGATTAACTGTTAGAATTTTAGAGTACACCAGTGCCAATAGGACAGACATGTAAGTGGTTTTTTTCTTCCTCTGGGGGATTTAAGCAGATGATCATGGAGATATTTTTGAAAAGTGAATAGTCTTAGCCGGCGCCGCGGCTCACTAGGCTAATCCTCCGCCTAGCGGCGCCGGCACACCGGGTTCTAGTCCCGGTCGGGGCGCCGGATTCTGTCCCGGTTGCCCCTCTTCCAGGCCAGCCCTCTGCTGTGGCCAGGGAGTGCAGTGGAGGATGGCCCAGGTGCTTGGGCCCTGCACCCCATGGGAGACCAGGAAAAGCACCTGGCTCCTGGCTCCTGCCATCGGATCAGCACGGTGCGCCGGCAGCAGCGCGCCGGCCGCAGCGGCCATTGGAGGGTGAACCAACGGCAAAGGAAGACCTTTCTCTCTGTCTCTCTCTCTCTCACTGTCCACTCTGCCTGTCGGAAAAAAAAAAAGGAGAAAAAAACAAAAAAGAGAAAGGCCCCCCCTTATTGTCCCTAAGAATTTAATCCTTAAGGCATACATTAATATTTAATAATGATATATTACTTTTCATTTAAAAATGTCATCAAGCAGTTTCAAAATTGTTTTCTAGTTTTTACTCCAAGAATTCTTTTTTATTCTCTATGGTATTTGGCAGTAAGACAAAGTGTCATTTCCCAGTGCTGTTAGATGAAAAACGAGGAAAGTACTGCCCAAGTGAAACAGCAGTAAGATGACACTGTGGCCTTGTTGTGAGAATAGCCTCTCAATGTTTATTACCATGGAACCAATGGCCCCAAATGTAATGTCTTAAAATAATAGCAGTGTATTATTTCTTAGGATCCTGTGGTTTGACTAGGCAGTTCTATTGGTCTCACATGGTTCTCTTAAACAGCTGCCTTTAGCTGGCACCTGGCCTATGCCGGCAATCCAGGAAAACCTGTCTCATGTCTGGGGTTTTGGTGCTAACTGTTGTTGGCTTCTCTTGCTGCAGCAGGATAGTCTGGGTAGGCTTTTTAGTTCCCAAGAGGCAGAAAGTATAAGCTGCTGTAAGGCTACATGTGCAGTTGGTATAGTATTGTTTTGGTAACAGACTATGTTCAAAGCAAGACATGAGGCCAGCCCAAGAAGAGGGAAAATTGATTCCACCTCTTCATGGAAAAATGGAGTGTGCATACAGAGAGTAGGGATTATGGGCAGCTATCTTTGGAGACTGCCTAGTGCCAATAGCTTTGTGATTATTTCATATTCCTTGTTTTAAATCTATTAATGAAATTATATCTACCTAATATTATCTGTTATTTGTTCAGATGACATTAACTTTATTACTATATTCCAGATACTTAGGTTGAATTGATAAATGTACTGTGTTATTTTCCTAAGTATCTCTTTGCTACTTATCATTTCATTGAACTAGTGATGTCATTAAATAGTTTAGATGTTGTAACTTGATATATCGGGAATATCATCAAAAGTACAGCAGCAAGTAATGCGGAAAATGAAAGCAGGCATTTGTTTCTGAACGTTTTAGAATTTTTACACGTGTGTACGTGAGCAGTGTTGGCCCACAGTTTTCGTGGAAGGTCTTTGTCTAGTTTGGTTGTCAAAATGCTGTTGGCCTCCTGGAGTATCTTGGGAAGTGTTTCCTCCTTGCAGTTTTCAGGAAGAGTTTGTAGAATATTAGCATCAATTTTTTCTTTAAATGCTTGTAGAGTTCTTCAGTGAAATTATCCAGGCTGGAGTTTCCTTGCTTGAAAAGTTTTTGACTGCAAACTCAATTTCCTTAATTTAGGGCTATTCAAATCATCTTTCTTTTTGAGTGGGCTTCACTAGTTTGAGACTTTGAAGGAATTTGTTTATTTCATCTAAGTTGTCAATCAAATGGCATAATGGTAGGCGTTTATACTTTTCTTTTATGTTCATTTTAATATCTGTAGAGTCTACAGTGACGTCACCTCCCTCATTCCCAATACTGGTAGTTTATATCTTCTGTCTTTATTTTCTTGACCGATCTGGCTAGGGGTTTAATCAATTTTTATTGATGTTCTTAGAGAACCAACTTTTAGCTTCATTGATTATTTTTCTCTACCATTTTTTTCTTTCTTTAAAAGATTTAATTGATTTCTGCTCTGATCTTTATTTCCTAATTCTTTTTCTTCTAGTCATTTTGAATTGAATTTGCTTTTTGCCTTATTTCTGAAGCTGGATGCTAAGGTTTCTGATTAAGACATTTCTCACATTGAATTCAGATGGATGGTAAAGAGGAAAAGGTTACAAAAGGCCAAGAACTTCTCAGTGACTTCTTAATGTGTGATGAGACCCAAATAGTGAATTTGTTACTTATAAACCTCCAAACTCAATTTAAGTTTAAGAAAGTAAATGGAGCATACAGTGTTCTCGCCCCTTCCATCCAAAGCCCATTAACATGGTAGTAGAGAAATTTCAAAACAAGACAAGTGTGCCAAAAACAAGAAGCTGTCTGTGGGAGGGCTTTAGTGAAGAAATAATTTCAGAATGTTGGGAGTTTGTGGAAGAGTGTTATAGGTAAAGCAGAGCAGGAAGGTGCACTCAGAGAGGGCAGAGTGCAAGTGATGGACGGGGCTGCCTGGCAAAATCCTGGGCAGCTCCCTGGCTCCGCAGTGAGAGGTGAAAGCAGCTGGGTCAGAGACACTCAGAGCTCCCTGCCCTCCTGTTCTGAATGGCACCAGTTGCTTTCTCAGAAGCTACGACTGCTGTCTTTCTTAGATTTATTTTCCCTGAACTCTGGGGTTGTACTCAACATCTCTTATAAAAAATAACTTTGTTTCTTGCATTCCATACATACTTTGGAATACATTCTTAAATAGTTCCTTTAAAATATTGACCACTTAGGCATATTTAGAATGTTTGTGTGGAGCATTTCTAATTACCACATTGTCTGCAGGTAGGAGCATTATTAAATCCTTGAAAACTTGAGTTATTGAAAATGAGTAGTGGTGATTTTTTTCTCCTTCTGTCTATGGGCTTTTGCTTAGCTGATAACTTGATCTGAGGAATTAGAAGTTTAGAGTCACTTTCTAAAATATCTGAGAACTGCTTAAATTATTTTCAGCATACTGAGTGCTGATGAGGTGTGCAGTGCCAATCTGACTCTTTATCATTTAAGGATATATAGACATTGGTAAACTTTGTTTTTGAATGAATATTTAAATCTGTATATATGTGCAATACATTGCATCAAATATTTCATATTTTTAATTTGTATTTTTCAGACAATGAATGATTTTGACTATTTGAAACTACTAGGTAAAGGCACTTTTGGGAAAGTCATTTTGGTTCGAGAGAAGGCAAGTGGGAAATATTATGCTATGAAGATTCTGAAGAAAGAAGTCATTATTGCAAAGGTAACTGTTTATTAGAATTATTTACTAAATTGTTACTTGTGATGTTTGTGTGTGTGTGTGTGCTCATGAATATATACCTTTAAAAAATCAAAATATTGACTGTAGGATTCCTCAATATTAATGTCTATGTATTAGTATTTGTTTATAATATTAAGGTTTTCAAAAGTTAATATATGAATATTTTATGCTCAAGCTATTTTTTAAAAAAGATTTATTTATTTATTTGAAAGGCAGAGTTACATAAAGAAAACTTCCATTTGCTGGTTCACTGGCAAAATGGCTACAAGGGCCAGGGCTGGGCGAGGTGAAAGCCAGGAGCCTGGAACTCTATGCAGGTCTCCCACATGGGTGGCAGAGGCCCAACTACTTCAGCCGTCTTCCTTTTCTCTCCCAGTTGAATTAGCAGGGAGCCCAATTAGAAGTGGAGTAGCCAAGACTTGAACTGGTGCTCATATGGGTTGCCAGTGTTGCAGGTGGCAGCTTAACCTGCTGTGCCAGAGTGCCAGTGCATTTCTTTAATAATAATAATAATAATAAGTCTATTTATTTTCTTCTATGTGAGAGACAGAGAAAGAGAGAATCTCGTGTCCATTGGTTCACTCCTTAAATCCCTGCAGCCACAAGGGCTGGGCTGGGCTGGGCTGTGCCACAGACAAGAACCAGAACTCCATCCATGTCTCCCACATGGGTGGCAGGGGCCCAAGCAGATGAGCCATCATCTGCTGCCTTTTCAGGCACATTAGCCCACAAGTGGATAAGAAATAGAGGTTGCCAGGACTTGAACCAGCGCTCCAGTATAGGACGAGGGTGTCTGAAGTGGCAGCTTAACCCGCTACACCACACTGCCTGTCCCATTGAAACTGTGTAATTCCCTTGAGGAAGCAAAGATGTGCAGTCAGTGTGTGTGCTCCAGAGAATGTTTAACTGTATGTTTGTGAGATATGTCACTAATTACACTAGTGTTGCTCTGTAATATTTCCCCTCGATGTTTTGAATTTCTTATTAAAGATTGAGTAGAATAGTGTGGATGATTTTGTGCTATAAATTACAGAGCTTTTATAACATCAGATGGGAAAGCATCCTAAATAGATTAGAAAATATTAGAGTGATAAAACTAAGATAAATCAAGTTTGAAATTCTTTTTTAAAAAAACTATTTATTTATTTATTTGAAAGAGTTACACAGAGAGAGGAGAGAGAGAGAGAGAGAGAGAGGTCTTCCATCTGCTAGTTCACTCCCCAGATGGCTGCAACTGCTGGAGCTGCGCCGATCCAAAGCCATAAGCCAGGAGCTTCTCCTGGGTCTCCCACGCGAGTGCAGGGGCCCAAGAACTTGGGCCATCTTCTACTGCTTTCCCAAGCCATAGCAGAGAGCTGGATCGGAAGAGGAGCAGCCGGGACTAGAACCGGCGCCCATATGTAATGCCGGCGCTTCAGGCCAGGGTGTTAACCCACTGACCACAGCGCTGGCCCCTGAGTTTGAAATTGTTTTAGGAGATTGTGATCCCCACTCCCAGGACTTTATTCAACTTAGATCTTTACAAATAATTTAAAAACTAATGTCATTTCTCACTCAGAGTTCTGAGTTTAGTTTCAGTTCCCTCAAGAGACAAATTTGACTTCTTTACAAGTTGGTCCATGCTTTGTATTTTATTCAGTTCTGCAGATGACTTAGCACAGTGTTATAGTGTCAGACTTTAGCAACTACTTTTTCAGGTACTTTCATCCATGTTCTCCTCATCTGCAGTGCATTGTTCCATGTGCTTTATAAAACTATGCTCCCTTTGACTTTGAACATTTATTTTAATCTCAGCTCCTTCACAAGTTGGTGTCTCTTACCAGAAAGAATATTGACTTTGAAGTCATGTAGACCTGGGTTCATACTGCACGTGATGACCTATTTGTGATGGTACATTTTTGTGTATCTAGTGTTTCAAGGGGTAGAATACTTCTGACAGTTACCGAGCAGAAGGCCAGCCCACCAGGTATCCTATAGTGTGGTGGACAGCTCACCAGAGCCTTAGTGTTTTTATTTGTAAAGTTGGCAGAATAAAACCTCCTAGGCAGGAATACTCCCAAGATTAGTATATATATTTTAGTACAGTACCTGGCATATCCTGATAATTGAACTATTTTCAGGGAGGTAGTATAGTGTAGCATGTAGACTCTGCTGCCTACCCTCTGATCCTTCCTCAGAGTCACTCAGCATTTTATACCTTTGTTTCCTCATCTGAGAAATGAGGAAAATACTACTACTCACATCATAGGATTGTTGTCACGATTAAATGAAGAAATGAATTTAATTGTATTTGCCATCATTAGTAAATAAATTTAATAAATTATGTATTGAATATAATTAAACTTAAAGTACTGTTAAATAAAAATAAACATATCAGTATGATAAATATCTGCTGTTACTACTACCTACTTTTTATTGAGCATGGTAAATTATTACTTTGTTTTCCCTTTTATATACTAGTTCCACTTGCACTTCATTATTTACTTTCTGTTTATTGAGACTTGAGAACATCCTATTTAACACTGTCTTATCCCACTAATTACTTATACCTTTCCGAGTGTGCAGAATTGGGTATATTTCACAAGTGATTGACTATTTTGATTGATGTAGTTCCTTTCTGCCTTGTGCAGCAAATCCGTTTACCAGTTTCTTGAAAGGATTATAGTTATTCCTAGCAAAATGATGAACAGTGTGGGGTTTTGGAGTGTGACAAGGCCTAGGGTTTGATTCCTGAGGTACCCTTGAGAGCATCCTATCAGGAAGTAAATGATGTTGACAGGTCTTACTGTGACATCCATTTTCAACACTTGACTAACTTGGGTTTCTCCACTGCAAAGTTACTATTTACACCTTTGTAATAAGTATCTTAGGAGAAATACTCTGAGACTATGCAAATCTCCTGTTTCTTCTTAAACTTTGGTCTAATAATTGTGCTGCTCATCAGTGGCTCTTGTCTACAGTAATGATTATTGTGGTGTTCTCATGGTGCTTTTCTGTTTCCCTCATTCCTTATAAGTATTTGTTCTTTCTCAGTTTAACTAGCTGTGTCAATTTTGTTAATCTTTTCAAAGAACCAACTTTTGTATCTGTTGATGTTTATGGGTTTTCTGTTTGTTTTAATCATTTTTCTTCCATTTGCTACGTTTGAGTTTACTTGGTTCCCTTTCTGGTCTGTGAAATTATAAAATCAAGTTGTTGGTTTGAGATCACTGCTCTTATTTAATGTAAGCACTGACAGCTATAAATTTCCCCCTTAGCAATGTTTGTGTTACCTTGTATAAGTTTTGGTATGTTTTCATTCATCTCTAATTCCTTCCATTATTATTAATTTCTACAGATTGTGAGTTTTTCTGTTTGTTTCTCTGTTACTGATTTCTAACTTAATTCCATTGTGGTACCCAGAAATAGGAACCCAGGTAGGCAGAAAGAATTCTTCCAGTCTGCAAAGGATGTGCTGAACCAGATTGCCTGCAACAGTAGTTTACCAGGTACCTTTCCCTCAGTCTATTCTCATTATACAGAAAGAGTTGCAGGTTGGATTACATAGGTACATGCTAGTGAGCTGTTTATTTATTTATTTGAAAGGCACAGAGGCAGAAAGAGAGATATCCCATCTGCAGGTTCACTTCCCAGATGGCCGCAATGGCCAGAGCTGTGCCAATCTGAAGCCAGGAGCCGAAGCTTCTTCCATGTATCCCATGCGGGTGCAGGGGCCCAAGGACTTGGGACATCTTCTACTACTTTCCCAGGCCATAGCAGAGAGCTGAATCAGAAGTGGAGCATCTGGGACTAGAACCGGTGCCCATATGGGATGCTGGCACTGCAAGTGGCAGCTCTACCCACTGTGCCACAGTGCCAGCCCCATGGTGAGCTGTCTTGATCAATCCATTTTCCTAGATGAAATGAAGGCATAATCCATCTCATTGGACTCTCAGTTTGACATAATGGTTTAAAGATAGAATTTCTTGCTTAGGAATTATCTCTGCTTCCAGTGCCCATAGTTGAGGCCCTGCCCATAGGACATTGTGCCAAGTAGGAAAAAAGAAAGTAGAAGTGATGTAGGGGAGAACTGTATGGTCATGAAAGTGTCTTCTTCTTCCTGCACGTCCCCACGTGTACCAGAAAATCAGAGGAATCTATTGCAAAGGCACCTTCCCTTTGGCTCTTCTCATGTTGAGTATTACCTGTGAAGGCATGTGTATCAGCACTTCCTGTCTTTATCCCCTCTCATTTTAAATAATGTTTCAGCTTCACATGTCAGTTAGCTGTCTGGCTGTCTGGCTGTCAGACTGTTACTCTGAGGGTAATATGATATCTTAAAATGTAGCTTCGGGGCCAGCGCTGTGGTGCAGTGGGTTAATGCCCTTGGCCTGACGCGCCGGCATCCCATATGGGTGCCAGTTCTAGTCCTAGCTGCTCCTTTCCGATCTAGCTCTCTGCTGTGGCCTGGGATAGCAGTGGAGGATGGCCCAAGTCCTTGGGCCCTGCACCCACTTGGGAGACCCGGAGGGGACTCCTGGCTCCTGGCTTCAGATCGGCACAGCTCCAGCCATTGGGGCCATCTGGGGAGTGAACCAGCAGATAGAAAACCTCTCTATCTATCTCTCTGTCTCTCTCTCTGTAACTCTGTCTTTCAAATAAATAAAAATAAATCTTTTAAAAAAAATCGCTGCATCCATTTGATGTGGTTGTGGGCTGTGAATTGTGATCCTTCGTCTGATGACATGTCACTAGGTCAGTTGGTGGGCATATGGTGTCTTCTGTTCCAGTCCTCTTCTGATGTTTTACTGCCAAGTATGCAAAGCCCAATCCAGAACCTCCAGAGGATATTGTCTGTGGTCCGCTGCAGTGTGTTTGCCAGATGTGTTGGAGGGGTACTTCCTCCTGGGAAATCTGCCCCATAGCCACCTGCAGTTTCTTTCTGTCTTATTGGCAGATAGGACAATTCTCATCAACATTTTGTATCTCAGAGGGTGCAATAG